CACTTCACACAAGCTCAGCCAAAGTACTTCGTTGAACGTTGGTAAGTATCCCTGTAAACAGGCACCTTTGGAACCAAGGATGCTTCATCTTCAATGCCTCGGTCGTCGTGACTTCCTTAAAGACCAATCATCTCACAGACCCATTGACGCCCATAGTAATTTCAATTAGAATGCTGGCGTTCAGTGAAACTTTTGACGCAATAAATCGTATAGAAAGGTACACTAGATGCAAGTTAACCAGTACCAGGACCGAGTGCTTGCTACACTAAATAAAGTACCTTACTGTATCATCGGATAAAGAAGGCAGCCATTGGATGTTGATTGGAATTGTTCTCAATTACATACCAATTGGCACTTTGCGTTAACAACACGAGTATTTTGGACTGGGAATCTAGTCCGAGCCTTGTGAAAGATATCCGCATAAAAGCAGACAATCAGACCGTCGGTTACTTAACACTTTGGCTGCGACTGCCAAAATAGCCCTTATGCCCTTGCGTGTATGCGTGTACCACATATGGTGCACGTCGCAGTCAAAGTGTTAAGAAAAATAATGCTTTAGACTATACCACTAAGGACTCCCGAAGTGAGCTCTTTTCGGTCAATAAGCAAGGCAGAATCATCTTCGAGTATTGGAAAAGATCCTGAATCTCTGTGGAACAAGCACGAAATAGAACGACGCCTGCATTAGACTGCAACAGGAGGACCTTACACAGTAGAAGATCTGAAAATTTAAGTCGAACTCCCAAAAGTCATGAATGAGCATTATTACGTTTTCTCAAGGCTTAGTGTACGCCGACAAGATGAAGTCATTGCATTCATATTTCGTGTTTACCCAATTGCGCAATTTATCCAATTATTTATACACAGCGAAAGAGGTTTCGTTTCAATGCAAAGGCGTGAATCAGTTGTTATCACACAGAAATAAACGAACTGACTGATCAATTTGTTTTCGAAAAGGCGGATTTGTGGCTGACATGCAGTTAAAAGTTCCCATATTATTCGGAATAGTTGCTGATCCCATTCGACTAAAAGGCGCAGCTACAAACAACTATTAACATTCGGATAACGTTCTGTGGCTCTTATTGTGAAAGGTAATGGAACATTCCTTCCGCACTAGCTGACAATGACAGGTGTCCCGTCATATTTTTTGCTTCACGTAACTAAATATGGGGATCTCGCTAGATGTCTAATTATCCATTTACCATTTAGTTTCGTCCGATAATGTGACGAAGCGGCGCGGCCAGATTAGCACAGCTCTTTTCTATAACAACTGTTAAAATCATTAACATATATATGTTTATTCGGTAAAAGGAGTTCTTTGGGAAAGGT